TGTGTGTGTGTGTGTGTGTGTGTGTGTGTGTGAGTGAGTATCCTGTAAGTGTCGGGGAAAGTTTTTCCCCGGTGTATCTTACAATCATTTTTGCCATGACACTTCCTTATCTCCACTGTCCAAACCCATGGATCGTGACATGGAGACGTTCTTCATTAAACGTCGAGACTTGAAGGGGCATGTTTAATGCATGTGTCCGGAAACATTTTTATGCTATCAATTTCCAGCTCAGACTTAAGCCCTGTCATACTGTCATTTCCGAGTTTTATATTATGTGTGTGAGCTTATTGAAGAAAAATAAAAGTTTAATACAAACACCATGAGGGTTTTTTGTTGTTTTAAAAAAAATTATCACATAAATTTCCAGTTCAAACTTAAACATTGTCATTTCTGTACTGTAATATATTATAATACTCCACGTGTTATAAGAAAGAAAAAATAAAAGTTTTACAGAAACGTTTTGCCTGTGGAACAGAAATCATAGAAGAATTTGTAACGATTAACAGAAAAATTATACTGCCTAAACCAGGTTGTAAAAAGTGGAAGAAAGAAAAAATGAATCTAAAAACAAAAGGTAAGCCTAATATAGTCTTCAGCTCTTTGAAGCCTAACATAACAGAATGCATAGTTTAAGAGTTATTTTAACTTGGGAAGGTCTTAAAAACCCTTCATATGGGCATTTACAGTAAACAAATAAAAAAAGAATGTACCACAAATGATCATGGGGATCTCAAATCCACCCAAAAAGAAATGAAGACCGCAGAAACATGGTGATGATGATGATGATGATGATGATGATGATGATGATGATGATGATGATGATGATGATGATGATGATGACGATGATGATGATGATGATGATGATGATGATGATGATGATGATGATGATGATGATGATGATGATGATGATGATTATAGTGTTAACAATAATAATAATAATAATAATAATAGTAATAATAATAATTAGAATAATAATAATACTGATTATTATCATTATTATAACAATAATAAATAATAATAATAATAATTAAAAGATAGCAATAAAAGAAACAATAACAAAAACAATAATAATAATATCAATAATAATAATAATAACAATAATAATAATAATAATAATAATAATATAATGATAAATAATAATAATAATAATAATATAATTATTTTAAAAAGCAGCAACAATAATAATAATAATAATAATAATAATAATAAAAACAATGATTGACACATAGAATTGTAACACTTTAAGAACTCACAGAATGGGTGGTTGGCAGGTGCTCTGGTGTGGTCTGCTCCTTCTTTCCTGTCAAACCTCTATCGTTCTTATGTTTGCTTCTCCTTTGTAACACCTCTAATCGTCTGCACTTATACGACCCAATCATACAGCAAATGCCGTGAAACTCTTACTAAAACAAAACAGAACTCACAGAAGTAAATATCCGTTGGCTTACTTTCCTAACACTGTTGGTTGCCACAAATTATAACGGGTCGTACCTATAAAAGAGACTATTGGTGCAGTCAAAGTAAAAGGCAGATCACCGAAGGGGACGGGACTACTATGTGTCTGGTGTCTGTTCGCTCCTTCCACCTGCTCCTTTTTCAGGTAAAATGCGATGACCTTTCGTGACCTCGGCCCCAGTGCGCAGATGACGTTGTCCGCTGTTTTTACAGGATTTTTTTGTGTTCCTTCCTACATTACCATTTTGTTCTCAGTCCATACACGGAAGTGGGAGGTTGGAGGTTCTTCTGGTGAGGTTTCTTCTCTTTTTTTTTCTTCTATCAAACCTCTTTAGCATCTTTATCTCTACTCTTTCTTTTTTAATTTGATCTTTAAGATGCTACTCTCTGTCACTTCATCATCATCATCATCATCATCATCATCATCATCATCATCATCATCATCATCATCATCATCATCATCATCATCACCCCCCCCCCCCCCCCTCTCTCTCTCTCTCTCTCTCTCTCTCTCCCCCTCCCGGATTTGAACCCGGGCCTCCTCCTCCCCCCCCCCAAAAGGGGAGTGACTTTTCCGGATAAATTTTTCCCGGGCAGGCGCCGGGGGAGGGAAAAAAAAAGCGGGGGGGGGTTTCTTCTCCTCTGCTTCCTGGTCTGTGTGCAGTACAGTGATCTATGAGTTCGAACGAGCGCTGGGAATGCGACACTTTGACGGACATTCCATCAGAATTCTTGTCTCCCCTTTCGCCAAATTATAACTAGCAACCCCCCCCCCCCCCCCCTCCTCGGAAGAAAATCAAAATTAAAATTGCTCAACCAGCATCTAACCAATACAGCATTGTTAGACTGTTTGTCTTGTCAGTAAAAGACAGAAATCGATTCCTGTGTGGAAAAAAAAAATTAATACTCGCATTATGTAGGCCTTTATGCCTACATGTACTATTTCGAGTCCCTCCTGGGTTTGTTAATGTCATTGTTTTGTTTTTTGCTTATTTCTGTTTATTGCTTTACATGTACACAGAACATGTACATGTTTAACGCCCCTGTCAACACTATTACAGTAGTTATTTAAGAAACAGGACCTCCAAGTTTAACGTCCATCTTCTAAAGGGCCGAGCCAAATGGAAAATTCGTGTAAAGTGCTTTACCCAAAGGACACAACGTTGGACCGAGCTGAGGTTCGAACCCTCGCACCCACACTCTCTTAATTGCGAGTCAGCTCTGACTTTGATGGAGTACAGTGGCCCTGAAAAGGTCACATTATCAACCTTCCTTATAACTCAGCTAACTTGCGTCGATGGGGATGAGAGGCGTAAAACGTCTTCGGGGCTCCGATAGTTCAGTTGATAGATGTATCAATCTGGACTACGTATCGGAATAATCGGATGGCCTTTGTCCGAATCCTCAACGGGGCTTTCTTGGACTTGGGTTGTTTTGAAAAGTTTTAAAGGCTATCCATTTGCTGGGTTTGATCCTATCCGAGATGGACATTGAGACGCGGAGGTCCTGTCTCTAGAAAATGAATAAACCTGTCGTGATCCGCCAAACTGCAGGAAATGAGACACTAACGAAGTCAAAAGATTAAAATTTGCTTTGTGACAAATCAACATATTTTACAGCAAAATCCACAGGGGCCTACCTCGCTCAGCTTACTTCGGAAACGAAGACTTTACAGGTTTTTGTTTTTGTTTTGTTCTGTTTTGTTTTTGTTTGTTTGCTTTTTGTTTGTTGGTTTCTATTTCTTTATTTTTTCGCCTGCACTTTTTTTTTCATTTTGCCCATTCGCCCATTCCGTTTTTCGCGAAAGTTTTGATTTCGAGATTTGAGTTGCACAAATTAATGTGTTCCAATGTACGTAGTAGCACCCATTTTACGTAACATTTCGAGAACGACTTGACTTCGCCATTTCTTTGACAATTGCAAAATTCAAGTAGCGTGCGAAAAAAAGTCAACAACAAATAAAACAAACAAACAAACAAACAAATAAGCAAACACAAATCTAACTCTTATACGGTTATATAACGAGCTAGCTTTCGATTCAGCAAGTGGTTCATTGTGTACACACTGTAAAAATGAATTATTACTATCGGCATACGCGCGAAGGACACTTAACTCTTTTGAGACGTAGTGGACACAGAAGGTCCGACCAGCAGTAGACAAAACACAGTGTTGAGGCACGACATTTCCGACCATCAGACACAAATAACAAACATCAATTTGAGAATTTCGTTGTATGCGTTTGATTGCTTGCTTTTTTTTTTTCAGATACAGAAAACAGAATAGAAAAATCGGTATTAAGAACGAAATTCTGCTTATCTGTTAAATTGGCCCCAAAAACAGTGCGTGTTTAAATGAACCTGTTGTGGAATGGCCAGAATGCGCATCGTCAAGGAGTTAAGGAGAAAAAAGTATGGCACTGCGGTGAAATCAGACGCTCGTCAAAATAATGAAATAAAGAAACTGGCATTTTTTCACCCGTTAGGAAATCTTAAAATAATATGCTTTTACTTTTCAGTTTTTAGGGTCAAGCACTATTTTAACACACACACAAAAAAACATTTCTAAGTGAGTTTATTGAAAAACTCTTATTAAAGGCAAAAATATGTAATTTTGCACTTTCCAGAGACACGATAGCTTTAGAAGTCACCAACCTCTGACGACCAGTTTCTCGCCAATATTTTTTTCAGACACCAGGTGACAACCACCTCCTATAGTCGCAAGTATCTCAACTTCCCTTCAAGACAGATAGATTATATCTTTTTCATCTAAAGAAAAACACATTGATAAGCTTTACTTAACCTAAATTGACGAGCACCTGATTCCACCACGTCGAGACAGAAATTGCGGTCCGATTTCCTGGTTGTCTCGCCCGTCAGGGGACGGCCAGTCACGACGTCAGTTCTTCGGTGTGGAGAACAACCCAACAAGGCCTTCAACCTTCGACAACTACGTCGGTGGATTTATGACCTTTGACATATAGCCTTTGTGGTCGTTGTAACGGACGACATAACAATAAGCCCTACATTGCCAACGAAGGCTGCGTCCACGTTCGCTTTTCTCGGTATGGGCTGAGAGCTGACTGAATAGTAAAATCATATTGTTTGGTTTAGAGGCTTCGTGACTTCGTCAGAAAATAGAAACGCAAAAGATCAAATGTCCGTACTTTCTCAAAATACGTTCAAATACTTGGACGTTGCTTTGCTTCTTTCTGTCTTCCCTTTATGATGTGGGTGGTTGGCGGGGCGGGTGATTTGGTGTGGTTTGCTTCTTCTTTCCTACCAAATATCAACTATCGTCCTAATCTCTCCTCCATATTCTTCTTTTTTTTTTTCTTGTTACACTCTTGAAACACCTCTAATCTTCGTCACTTATATGACCTAATTGTGATGCAAGTGCTGCAAAGTCTTTAAAGGGGCTCTCGTGGTCTAGAGGTTAAGGTGTTGGCCTCTCATTCAAAAGGTCCCGGGTTCGAATCCGGGTAGCGACCGAAAAATTTTCTTCTCTAAAATTGTCTCCTTTCACCTTCTTTCCTGCTCTCCAGCAATGTTCTGTTGTCTGCTTTCATTTCCACTTTCTGCCCCCACCCCCTCACCTCCTTTGCCCCCTCCTCTGGGCTCC